GTTTATTATCGCGACAGACAAGAAAGATTCTGCCAAGATATGGCGATTAAACTTTCTATTTAATTTTTCTTGTTTTCGTACAAGTGTTTTCTTTTCTGAGCATAAAATGTCTAAAAACTCCTCAAAATTCTGCATATCCCGCTATTTATTTAACCATTATCAAGGGAGATTTTTATTTTTTATTTTTAACTAAATGTGTGTGTGTGTGTGTGTTTTTTTTTTTTATGTATGTGTCTGAAGTTATAAGAATGTTTTATTTTCCAAATACGGTCAGAGCATTATGGACGTCTTCGTAGTTAATGTTTTTCAGTGTTGGCTTTTCCTTTTTTATTATTAGTACTCCTGTTATTTTTAATATTTATAACATGTGGATGAGGCCATCATACTTGTATATTCTACAATTATGTTGATAACCTTGATTTGATTCATGTTAAAAATGTCGAAATAGCCGAAAATGTGTCAAAAAGTTTATACTAATTATATATATATTATACATATATATATATATTATAGATATATATATATAAAGACATTTTTATGTTTAACATTCTTTTATAGATACAAGTATTTAAAACAGTATTAAATAACATTTACCGGCCTGAATGTCCGAAAAATTTTGATGGAATTTTCAGGCCGGTAAATGTTATTTAATACTGTTTATTATAAACAGAGCATTTACTTAAATATCTGTATCTATAAAAGAAGGTTAAACATAAAAATAATTTTAATATATATATATATATATATATATATATATATATATATATATATATATATATATATATATAGAGAGAGAGAGAGAGAGAGAGAGAGAGAGAGATTATAATTAAGTAATTCATCGAGTACAGAAGAAACCACAACATATGGAAAATAGGCCATTTCGGTATATGAGAAAAGTGGTTGTCTGTCTTTTCAACCACAGTGTGAAATTATATTGCTATTGCTCTGTACAAATAAAATACATTTTTTTTGTGAATCAGTTCTAATATATTTTATATTACTAGGATCCACTTGGATTATATACCAACGGATATTTTACTTTATTTTATATATATATATATATATATATATATATATATATATATATATATATATATATATATATATATATACGCAGTAAATCTTCATTCAAGCATCATTGCTTGAATAATGTAGACATATATTTATTTATTTTATTTTAATCCTCTGAAATTCACGGATTATTATTATTTATTTATTTATTAAAGGTTATTTTTAATGGATACTCTTATTTGAGCAGACGTTCCGTTTATTTATTAATATTATTATTGTTGGAGAAATCTTATTAAAGAAATATATGGGCTCTCCAGCATGATATTCTATTTAATAAAATTTCTCTAATATTCAGGTCGGTAGACGAAAATAAATAAATATACGGTTTAATAAATAAACGGAGCTTCTACTCAAATATGGGTATCCACTAAGAATTAATAAAATCTGTCCGATTAGTAAATAAAAAATACATCAATTCATCATGTGTGCGTATATATATATATATATATATATATATTATTATAATATATATATTATATATATATGAAGAAATATAGTCTTAAGATGTGCTATATTTATGGGATAAAGTTCTCAATATCAGAGATAGAGCGTGTAAATATAAAAGTGTTTGGGTAAGAAATCAAAACTTAGAGGCGACAGTCTGTTTCATGTTAGACGCAATCGTCAGGCCTGACGATTGCATATAGCAAGAAACAGACTGTCGCCTCTAAGTGTTGACTTATGTTCACTTTATATATATATATATATATATATATATATATATATATATATATATATATAAATTTTCAAGAGGATAGAATCCAGGTAGAACTGAATGTCCAGGACAGAGTAAGAATATAATAAAAGGCTCAAACAAATTGAATTTGTAGGTCTGATGAATTGGATCGTGATTACGATTCCAATGTAATAAATTATAACCATGGAATATTAGTGTTTGAGCCTTTTATATATATATATATATATATATATATATATATATATATATATATATATATATATATATATATATATAAACAGGGTGTAACAGAGAGAGAGAGAGAGAGAGAGAGAGCAATTTATATCTATATCTATGCATGTGTGTTTGTGTATGTATGAGTATGATACTTTACATATAAATATTTGTTTGTCATATATATATATATTTACGTATTTACATGTGTATGTGTGGGAGGGTGAAATGTCACTAATAGTGTCCACTAGATGAAGATATTGACTTCTTCATATGAGGTAATAGAAATAGAATTTTCTGTTATTTTTAACTTGGTAAATTAAAAAATTTTTTATATTTTCAAACATTTTCACCTCTTTTTCATTTTTCTTTCTTTACTGTCAAATGCTATAAAATATCATCATCGTTAATTTTTGACACCACTAATAAATATTTTAATTAAAAACATTCATAAATACATCGTACTTTTTTTACTATTCACCCCAAGCAAGGCGATAATGCCACTAAGATGCAAGGGCCTACTGAATGTGAAAGAGGATGAGAAGACTTTAGAAGGGATCGGAGACCCAATCCTAAACAGGAAACAAGTAATAAACCTCTACTCCTGTTCAAAAACTGGGGAGGAGTGTGAACCGGACGACAGGGGAACTTATCTATGCCTATTGAGAAAAAATAAATAGTAAGTAAGACTGCAGCGTTTAGACGGAGACGTTGGAAGTATAGATTTGAAGTGGGCATTAGAAGGAACCGGAAACTTAATACCAAAAAGGAAACAAGAGATAAACTTCTACTCCTGTTCAAAAGACCTGGGAAGAGTGTGAACCGGGCGCTAGGTGAACTTACTTAAACCTACCTACCCCTATTTTAGAGAAATTTGCCCTGACCTATGATTTAAGGGTTTTTTTTCGTTTTTATATAGGACAGAAACCAACGTGGATGTTCCCCTGACGGTACAACATTTACCCCTTCAAGTTAAGGGGTCAATCGTTATTTATTCTCTATATGTACATAATCACTTTCTACTCTTATATTCATATCACGCACCACGTTCAATAAGCCTCTACCTTGAATGGCTCTTGAAACTTGTATAGGGTGAATATTAGTAAAATAAATCGAATTATTCATTTTTTCTGAGATTAAAATAATCGTGAGTCCTGGGTATGACGATAAACTACACCCGGCAGCAAGGCCTGATCGGGAGATTGGGAGTTTTGCGGAGCGTGGAACCACCTCTTAATTGTTGTTGTTCCCAGGTCCACCCTGATCTAGGGTGGTAGCACCTGTTAGGGTCCAAACTATGGGCAAGTAGTTTACCCCCAAACTGAGACCAAAACACTATGAAAATATAAAAATACATTTTGATAGTAGAAATACGAGCAATAGTTTCCATAGTAAAAAAATTACCAGCAATACATATAAAAAAAAATTACCAGCAATACATATAAAAAATTACCAGCAACACATATAAAAAAAATTACCAGTAATATATATTTTAAAAGTTACCAGTAATATATATTTTAAAAAATTACCAGCAATGTATATTTAAAAAATTACCAGCAATACATATTTAAAGAATTACCAGCAATACATATAAAAAATTATCAGCAATACATATTAAAAAAATTACCAGAATACATATTAGGAAAATTACCAGCAATACATATAAAATAATTACAAAGATGACAATGAAATTTCAATATATTAAACAATAGACGCACAAAACAATAATGATGGGCCGTTTTTGTTGCATGAAAGATTTTCAAGCACCGACAAACTCGTGTATACGAGACGCGGAAGCGAAAATCGCACCGCAGCTCGTCATACATGACCACGCGAGAGTGTATACGAGTTTGTCGTTGCTCTTAAATTTTTCATGCAACAAAAATAGACTATAATTATTGTTTTGGCGTGTATTGTTTACTATATTGAAACGTAATTGTCATCTTTGATAATGGCTTATGTAAGCCGAAAGCTTAGATAGGATTAAAAAACATGTCTCAATATGGTGTTTTTCTTTCATCTTTCAATGATAATATCATTAAGCTCATCAGACAATATGAAAGGAATTTACATAAAAAATAAATAGACACAACTTGTCTATATTATTTAATGAAACATGCATCAATGAAAGAATGCTACCAAATGCTCACTGAAACAAACAAATTATCAAAAATATTTAACAAAAATAACGTAAAGATCAGTTACAGTTGTACAAAAAACATAACAGAAATAATCAAAAGCCACAACAAAAAAATGACAACCCACAAAAATGAAACCAAGGATCCAATATGCAACTGCAGATATAGAACAACATGTCCACTCCAGAGAAATTGCCAACTTACGAACACAATATACAAGGCCAAGGTAAGTGCAAACAACAACATAATGCACTACATCGGTGCCACCGAAGGTCCATTCAAGATGAGGAATAACAATCACAACCTTTCATTCACCAACAGGAAATATTCGAACAGCACAACACTTTCTACATACATATAGCAGCAAAAAGACAAAAATATCACACCAACAATAAGTTGGGAAATATTGAAAAAAGCCCCTGCCTACAGCAACATTACGAAAAAATGCCTACTTTGCCTACACGAAAAAGTAGCAATAATATCACACAAAACCGCAAAAGAACTTACTAAACAAAAAATCAGAGATAATCTCCAAATGTAGGCATGAGAACAAGTACCTATTATCCGAATTCATACCAAACGGATAAAACAGACAAACCACCAACAATCACAATTTAATTTCCAAATACCATCACAATAATGGCATCTATCGTTATTATCATTGCACCACCATTAGTAATCACTTCTACCACTTTACAATAACTATTAACTAATAATATTATCATCACCACCAACACCTAACACCATCACTTACACATCATATCTACTATTAACATATAAATCCACTATAATCATTAACGTATATTACTCCCCCAGCATATTTAATATCTTAAAACAATAAGATCAGATATAATTTCCATATGTAACCATGAGAATAAATA